CAGAGTCCGACAAGCCCATCATCATTCAGCAGTCCGGACGCGAGGAGAAGGCATGCCCTGCACCATGGGGCCTGGTTTCCACCATCATGGAGGCGTACAGCCGGCACCACGAGCTGGTCCTGCGGCCAGATGACGTGTGGCAGGCAATTCTAACTCAGTTCAGCTTTTACGTCAATGCCAATGCAGAAGCCTTGCGCGACAGGTTGGTAAACTTTGAGGGGAAGATGACCCTTGTCGTCGAAATGGCTGGCACGCTCTTCACGGCTGACTACGCTGAGTTCGCAGAGCGCATGGTTGATGAGAACATAGTACAGAACATCAAGGATCCAGAAATGGTGGCCTGGCTGATGCCAGGATTCAGCACGACCACGGTAAATGACCGTGTCGTTGCGGCTGTGTCTGTCATGTCGACGCTGCAGAACTACTTCGAGTATGTCTGTCGTTTGTGCTGCGGCATTCCGAAGGTGACCCTTCTGGGCACTGTGGAAGACTGGATGCAGCTACAAAAGAAGGCAGACCGCCTGCGTGACTTCGACTTGACAGATCGGAGAATGAGCCAATGGCTTGCGATGCTCTCGCCTGTGCTGGACCAGTTCGTAGCCTCAGCATCCGGAAAGGCTGATTTAGACTTCTGGGACAAGGTTTGCTGCCACCTGGGTGGCGGAAGCGGGCCTAGTTACCTGAGTGGTTGGGTGACGGTCTTTGCGGTGTTCAACAAGGATGGCGAGTGGAAAGGGGATGTCGCAGAAGCGTCGAATCCAACAGGAGCTTGGCCTCAAATTGATACCGGGCGCATTCCTGCTGGAACGCTGAGTGTGCCAGTGCTGGTGGATGACAATGGCACGCAGTACGACACACAGATGGTCGCAGGTTCCTGGGCTAGCAGGAAGTAGGTTGGCCGTCCTAGATTGAAAGGGGTTGCGTGTTCTTTTATCCTATCGTTTTGTGCGGTGCCATGTGGCAGCAACTTGGACGTAGAGGTAACGGAGTGTTGCTTTGTTGCAGTTTGCAGGCCAATTGGCTTCGGACATTTGCTGCGACGGACACGGTCTATGCCCACGCACTGATTGGTGCATCGCATATAACGGTAAGCCCAAAGCAGAGCGACGTGACTACAAACACGGGGAAATTCGGCCAAATGAAGCAGCTTGAGCTCACGGTTTGGTGAGTTGACAGTTGATGTGCAGTTCTAAGCAGACAGTTGATGTGCAGTTCTAAGCAGCCCGAAGCAATTTGTGCAGCCGCTTCGTGCAGCTGTCTGTGCATGTGGCACCGCCAACACAGCGGGACTCGGGACGAGAGATGGCATGTACAGGCAGCTATCGCGATGACGAAAAGATGACATCCGCTACTGCAAGAAGGGGAAGGGAGGGCGACAGAGCCGTGATCAGCACATTTGCAGATTTTTGACCATCACAGTTATCCTGCTCCGGGGGGATGGCAATTCCATTGCATGTCCCTTAGAATTGCTGCAGCCTCCAGCTTTGAGGCCCCTAAGCTATGGATAACCCTCGGTTGAAGGGTCAAGGAGCTGGGGGCATTGCCAAAAAGTCAAATCTGCTGCAAAGGAAGCTCAAGCTTTTGCCCGCACTTTTGCCCTGACACATTTGCCTCA